GGATGTGATGGTGGGTGGATGCGAGGTAGTAACAACGATAAAGGAACCAAGATACTTGCGGGCATGTAGTGTGTAGTGTTGTAGTGTGTCTGGGAGCTGTGCAAATGCTACAACACAAAATGTCGGCGTCGTCAGGGTCGGGTCGACGTCCAGATTGAGACAGCACAGATGAATGGTCGTGAACGATCGAGTATCGATAAATTGGTGCGAGGCTTTGATGGAGGACAAGGTCGCTGGGTGATGCTGTGACAAGCAGCAAGTATCCTCGATGGGTGAAGTCGGGCGGGAGACGAGGTACCGTAGTGACAGGAAGTGACCAGGGGAAAGAGACAAGTGACTTCAAGAGGGAGAACACATTGATTGAAGGAAAAGCTGGGCTGGACTGGGCTGGGCTGGGACTTGTCCGGGCTGTCAAGGCTGTCAGGCGCGTATAGGGCATGGGTAGGTACGGTGTGGGGGCAGGCAGGCACCTGGCCGGCGGGCGTAAGGCAGCTACTTGTTACCTGTCCAGGGCGGGGGAGGGAAGGAACTTTGGTGGCCCCTGCTCTATTATTTTCTCTCTTTTCGCTCCCCCCATCCTCCGCCCACCAGCCACTGGACGGACACACGGTCCACGACTCGAATTAGCCCCACTTCTCCTACCAGAAAGAATCAGAAATTGGAAAGAATGGCCCGCGCGTCCCGTTAGCGCCGTGTTTAGCGTAACGCCCAGTTCGGTTCACCAACGAACACCTCGACTTTCTCGTGACATGTCATCTAATCTTCTTGAAGTATTGGGTACTCAAAGATCGGGCAGGTCGGTGGACACCACCACGACAACAACAATCTAACGGTGATTTACTAATGCCCAGTTGTTGTATCTACGAACATGCTCGGACATGCCCCGGTTTGGAATGAGGCTCTTTTCTTTTTCTTTACCCCAGCTAAAATCCGATAATGAAATATGGCGTAGTACTACGTATCTATCTAGACCTACTGGTACTGATTTCTACCCGGTTTGGTGACGATGATGTCAAGCTGAAGGCCCGATCGAGAAAAGTGGAGTGGTTGGGGTTGGCCAGGACATCCAAGTGCGAAAGTACGACAGTGCCTCATTTACATAGTATTGGCAAGATGAGATCTGCCACGAAAGGAATAGATGGCAATTTTGAGTTTTATTACATTCCACAGAAGGGCTTGCTTTGAATCGTCCACTCATTGTCACTGTCGCATCTGCGATATCAAGATTCAGCCAAGTCTGTCCCTTTTTTATCTGGTAGAAGAGCAAGTTGGCGCTTATACTCAGTACATGCCGTAGTGAATGAATGCTCTAGTCTTTTTCCCCTTCTTTTTCTTATATCCTGCCCCATGGTCATGGTGACGGTGACTATGCCAATGGCACCATTGCTTGACACAATACGAACTCAATTCCCGCCCCGCTCAATGTTGCTCGCGGAGGACTTACTTGGCCTTCCGAGGGCGGATGGACCGAAGTAATGAAAAGCTTATTGCTCCGCACTACGAGTCATATTCTCATCTGATTAGTATTCTTTTTCTTTTTTTTTTTTTCTTTTTTGTTTTCATTTGGTGGTGATCTTTTGAGGTCACCCGGCGGGGGGGGTGTTGGTCTGCGGCTACCCACGGGCCGTAACGAGACCTGCAACTCGTCATAATGTTCTGATACATTGGGAACCTGGGAATACTAGGTGCTAAAGACCACCAACTTCATTTAAAAAAAGATCGCGTGAGTAGAAAATATTCTCCGGGATAATAATTACAATTTTCTATTTTTTTAATGAAGAAAAAAAATCTACCATTGCTATGTTCATCCAAAGCCCTGCTTGCATCTTCTCCCGTCGCATTCGAAGGTCGAGTACCGAAGACACTGTTGGCAGTACTTGACGTTCAAGTCACCCCCAGCCGTCCAGGTTTAGCCCTGGTTCCCACGTTTTGCTTCAATCATTGTATTTCCCGCCCTAGGCTTGTTTCGTTTCGTTTTCCTCCCAGCGCAAACTCAATCTCTTTTACATCCCCAAAAGAAGAAGAAAAGAAAAACTTTAGAGGAAATAAATTGTCATGTCGTTCATTGTCAGCCCGCCTCGAAACCTTAAACCGAAGCTCGAGACGTTGCTGATGTTTCAACACCTTTTACCTTCCCGGCTCGCACACTATGGCCCGCCCGTAACGAAACAAAAGAAAACAACATACAGAACCAAGACAAAGAATATGTTTGGCTCGGGGAATACAGCAAGCCCTAAAAGTGCTTGAGCTTCACAGCATTCCCCCCCGGAGAAAGTCTGAGCATTGTTCCCATCCCCGCAGGCGCAATCTCGCGGGCTTGTATAGAGCATCGAAACACATATCTTGCTTTGCCGCCCGCGTCCCCGAAGCCGGCCAAGCCATGTCAAAGCGGCGTAGACCACCGCCCGACGGCGACGACGTTTCATGCTTTTCCAACCAGACTCCCGCCCCAGCACCCACCTGCGGCCCGCGGTATCTCGTTGAGTTCAGCTTCCCAGCTCATATGACGGCCTTTTGGATGTGTGAATGTTTTGAATTTGGGTGTTTCCGATGGAGGAAACGCATTGGCATGCAGCAGTCCGCGCTCCATTCGCGGAGGCTCAGCTCAGCTCCGCTCAGCCCACAAGATACAGCTCAAAGCGTGCAGGTTAAAGGGCGGTGATGACGAGCATCAGAAACCCTAAATTATTGCTGCGCAGATCACCCAGAGTAACAAAAGATCGACACTTGGTGGCCCATTGTGCTGTTTGAATACCAAGTTAGGTGGGGTAGTATGGTACGGTAGCGTCCTCTAACCCAAAGTATGGGAGTTAGGCCCTGCCGATAACGAGGTCGACATATACCTACGTACCTACCTTATTCAACGTTAAGTCAATCGAAAGCGGTAAGCGCGGTCGTTGATACCTGGGCGAAACCTGGCATGTTGCGAGGTACTTTGCCTAGTGTTGCAAGCGGTACCTTCTGTGTCCCCTACATCAACGAAACACACTTGCATAGCTCCGACTTACCCGTGGCTTCCTTCGGCTCCGAACTTTGAAGCTCAAGTCTCGGAGCCGATCGAGAGGTCTGCAGACGCCAACCCGTCCGTATTCTGAGGTGACATACCATATAAACATACTTCCATGGTGGATGCTCCTCGAGCCGCATCAAGACTCACCTTGCTCAATATCACATCATCTTCACGGCTCCCTTGAAGAATTCGGTGAAATATGTTACGGAGTGCCTTAGCGCGATCCAGGTTCCTGTTCGAGTACCATTCCGGCTCATGGTGATCTCCCTCTCCATCACAGCCGTGGATGCTGCCTACCCTAGGGTAGAGAGAGAGGAGAGTCAGCCCACAAATCAAACGACCCAGTAGGTATCTCTCCATCACTTGCCACTTATTGACGGTTTTTACTCATACCCAATTTCTCACTATCAGGCCGATGACATCGACAATTACATTCCCTGGTGCATCTCACCACTGCTGCATTGAAGTGCCCAGGTAACTGCTGAGTCCAAAATAATCAATTCTAGGCTGTCAGCATCTACTGCACTATCTCCACACACTTCTGTGTCTCGACTTCAGCCTCCCGAGCCGGCCTCTGTTTGAGCCCTTGCCTGAACGGATCAATCCCAATACGGACTCGCGTCAACAACAAGCACATTGATTTCCACATACTCAAAGGTCACCAGCTCAAGATCATCATAAGTGAGCTCCTTTCTAACGACCTCGATGATTGCGTGTCCGGAATTGAGCTCTGGCGGACCTGCTTCCCCTAGTGATCTGGGCTCCTCCGCGAACAGCACACCGGTGATCAACTTCCTCGAATCCAGGTTCTTCAAGGAAAAGAGGGCCCCGGCACTCCCATCTCCGGCAGAGATCCGAGACTTGAACAAACAAAGCGGGAATTTGCGTGCCACCTACTTCAACCGGCCTGCCCCCGTTCGGATCCCTTCACTTGGGTTGCTTGTCAAATACGGTGCCGATGTCACCTTGACTGAGGTGGAGACTCAGATATTCATACGTGAGCAGCTGCGAGACCATCATGTTCCGATTCCCGAAGTGTTTGGGCATGCCGAGGACCAGGACCAAAGATTCATCTACATGACTTTGGTGGAAGGTGACACTCTGCAAGAACGGTTCGCCAAACTGACTGAGATGGAGCGACGGGCTCTGTGTGCGGAGCTCAGAGGCATGGTGAACACCTGGCGGGGAGTCCTGAAGCAGCACGAGGCGGATCTGTACATCGGTAATGAACACGCCTTCTTCATTTCCGTTGTCTTGTGCTCCCTTCTTCATCGTAAAGGGTAAATCTCTAACATCAACCAAATAGGCAGTGTCGGAAGGCGATCACTAAACGACGTGCTCCTTGCCGACAACCCAAATGAAGCAGGCCCCTTTCTAGGCCCTGATGCTGCACAGAAGTTCCATGAAGCTTGTGATATTGAGATATTCGGACATGAGCCGGTTGTATTCACCCACAATGATCTCTGTCCTCCCAACGTTCTTGTCTCACAGGGCCCCGATCCCAAAGTAACGGCGATTTTGGATTTTGGTCAGTCAGGCTGGTATCCTTGGTACTGGGAGTACTGCAAAGCGAAGCGAATCGGACGTATCGATGAGGGCGTTTTCGAGTATGCTCATCTGGAGGAATGGTCTAGTCAGTATCTGCCCTTGATTATCGACCCGGTGGATGATGAGAAGTATTATCATCCTTGGCTTTTCCGCATGCTATCACGCGCATGATTCTGTACTAGGTACTTATCTCGGGGCTCGTCTTCATCAGCATCCATCTACAGGGTTTCTACTTGACTAGAGGGCGACACAATCTTGGCTCCTCTTCTCATTCCCAATTAGCGTGCTGCTTATTCTAGATTACCCAGGGCAAAAAGAACTGGGCAACCACCGGGCCCATCCAAGCTTGCTAAGCTCAAGGAGCAGCAATACACTGCCAGACAAGTCTCCTGCTTCTAGACACGCAACAAAGAGACAGTGATTGATACACAGGCAAAAAGAGTGCGCAAACCCGGAATCGAACCGGGGGCCCATCGAGTTTTGCTAATGGCAACGATGGATTTTACCACTAAACCATTTGCGCTGTTGTGATGTTGTTGAATTCTGACTCGAGGTGAGGATTTATATTTGTGCGTTACAGTGGGGAACGAGTTCAAGATTGAGACCTACTGGGATGTTACGTAATCACGGGCTACTACCGGTGACGGAGGCCCCGTAAAACAGCACACTCACCCTTGTAATCAGGAAACAGAACCGAAGGGATTGGTAATTACAGTCGTTATCGTTGATATTTGAAGAGCTCCGTGTGCGCGCGCTTGATAGAGCGTAATCACTAGCAGCTGTTCAGGTAGTGCGTCCATTAGGTAGCTACTGCCGCCCAGGAGCAGCATCGTCGATGAGAGCGCACTGATAACTTGCACTTTTATTTGACTACGTCGCAGTCCGTCAGTCCGGGAGTCTGTGTTTCTGTAGATATTTTGAATTTCACCGAATTCATCCGCGAGACGCATGCTCAGAGCTCAGCGAAGTCGGCAGCGGTCGAGGAACGGCGGGGGAAACCAACCTTGAACACCAGTCGAAGGACAAAGAAATGTGAGACTGTCTACCACATTGGCGACTGCGGTGAAGATTTCATATATTCCCGGGTCCCGAACCAAGATATTTGCTATATATTAATGACTCCCTACCACTGATCCTCTATACCATGCGTTTGCGTTCAAGACTCTCTCCGCGGTGAACCATCGTGCCAAGAAAAAGGCATTCGGCTACCTAAAGCTACCCTAGGGTATGTCTGGGGGATACGGCTCCGTGACACGAGTGAAGATCCACCCACTCTGCCACAGATTTCACGATATATTGAAATCGGTATGAGCCCCTTTCGTGACTTGAAGTCCGGTGTTGTCGAGGGTTCAGTCGTCTTTCCTACCTCTAACGCAACCCTCATGACCGCAAGATCAATGTTGTCGGCGGCTTTTTCGCAGTCAAGAAGCTCAAGAATTCAAACCTGGCAAAGTTCCGACGGGAAGTTGATGCGCTGGAGAGGTTCAACGGAAAGGTACACAAACACCTGGTCACCCTCCTGGGAACATTTACGCAGGGCGGCTACTATCACATGATATTCCCCTTGGGCGGATTGTGACCTCGACAACTACTGGAAAGGGCACCCGAAGCCCGATCTAACCGACACTAGCCTCGTCCGTTGGCTCTCGAAGCAGTGCCCTCGGCATCATGGAGGCTGTCAATGTCATACATAACCCAGTTCATCTTGGAGAGCAGCGATGCGGTCGGCACGGCGATATTAAGGCCGAGAACATTCTGTGGTACCGAGCCGGGGACCGCGTCCAGGGTAACAGAAGGGGGGACTCTGGTGTTGTCAGATCTTGGACTTGCCGCCCTCAACACGTAGAAAAGCAGATCTATGCAACTCGGTGTCGGCGTGCAAGCGACACCTTCGTATCGGCCGCCTGATTGTGACATTGCGGATGTTAGAGTCTCTCGGGCTTTTGACATGTGGACGCTTGGATGCCTATGTCTCGAATTTTTGTGCTGGGCTCTGCAAGGCCACGTCAGAAAGCTGCAGTTTGACGGTGAGCGGAGCACTACCTTCTTTTACGGAGCCAAGACGGACGTTTTCTTCGACATCAAATGCACGGAACAAAGCGATGATGACTCAATTGTCGTCGAGGTGAAGAAAGAGGTAACGAAGGTTCGTTGCTCAGTGTTCTATTACCTACTCTGCGCACACCTTCTTTTGAATTGAACAATACTCAGACTGCACTCATTATACAAGTACTGATCTACAATCTACCAAAATTCTCAGAAATTGGATGAACTACACGCGGATGCCCACTGCACGGACTGGATGCATGACTTGCTCAACATGATTGAACAAGACATGCTCATGGTTGACCCAAGGGAGTGGAAGGACTCCAGTGATTTGCTGAAAGAATTGCGACTGATGGACACTAGCTGTCAAAAGAATGACCGCTACTGTCTGCATTCCGCAGTACGACAAAGTGTGAGGAGGAAGCAGACAAGCTTACTTGCCCAGCTGAACGACGTAGCCAAGATGAACATTCGAAAGCACGGCACATACCTTGAGGGTCCATAAAGAGGATAACATACCTTCGAGAGCGTTGAGAAGGATGACTTTGACACCACAGGAGTGACGAGACAAATGCAACTCAAGTCAAGAGATTCCGATATTCAATGTCGAATTCTTCACATACCCGTCTGTTTGTTGTTGCGAGAAGGGGACCAATTGCTGTGACGGATCGCGAAAGACCTGGCGGCGTGCACTCTAGAGAGCCCATCTTGGTTGAAATGCCTGTCTATTAGCACCGTCCCTGTACTATATATGCTGCGTATTAATAGATAGTATCTCAAACTTTGGCACTTCTTGTAGACTGTATAGTTGAGTCATAATGATTGCTAAAGAGGGATACAGTAAAGTTCTTGATATTCTGTGAAGAACTGTGCATAGATTAACCTCAACCTCAACCCGCAGAGATGATATTCATAAGGTATAGTAGTATTACCTAGCTGAACCCTGGTTATATATATCCATACATGACAGCATTAAAGATGATTGCTATTATAAAGGCTCCAGTCTTACCTATCCATAGTAGCATCATACTTTTAATATGAAGCGATCGCTAAAGGGGAGAAAGAAATGAAGGAGGGAAGGGGACATATCGACCACATCGAATTCCGATAATGCTTGGCTTTTTTTTTAGCGGCAAATGGGCAAGAACACCTCCAGAAGGTATACCTAGGTACATAGTAGGTCGGAGTCCTACTTGAACTGAACCCCTTCCAGATGACGCATAATTTTATATTTTAAGCTTGATCTTATCTTTGCTGTTTCTTGCATTTCGATAACTGATACTAAATTCTACCTGAACTCTAGGTACTTTCGATCATAGCCTAATGTACCTTGAACTGCTACCTTACCTCACAAGACCTGTTCTGTCATCTTCACTATGGCGTCGCCACACATTCTAGCCACACCGGCCTCCCAAGATGCCATCCTCGAATCCCTCCTCGAAGACGTCCGGGCCTACAATGCGCGCGAGCCGCGCCTTTACGTTGGCCTGCGCGAGTGCAATCTCGACGCGGAGATGCCCCTGCTTCTCAACCCGCCTGGCGAGCCCCTCGCGTGCAGGGAGTCGCCCTCCGAGTTCGAGGCCGTCAACGCCCACTTCTCAGCCCAAGTGCACGCCTTCTTCAATGCGTTGCACAACCTCGAGGACATGGCAGAGAAAACGTCCTCCGACGAGCCGGACCTTATCCGCCCAAATGAAGGCCTTCGGCCCGCAATTCACGTCGTCAACCAGTCCTTCGACATCTACCCAGACTGCATGCACCACACATTCCACACGAGCCGCCTCACCATCCACGACCCGGACAGTCTACCTCTCCTCAACCGCGTCACCCAGATCCGCGTCTTCCCCGCCCCGAACTACGCCTCCGAGCCGGGCATGAACTCGGCCCACATGCGGCCTGTCTCCCCGCGTGTGCCCCTCGACCTCGTCGCCCGCGTCCCTCACCTTCGCGAGCTCGATTGTCCCTGACTATGGGAGCGTCTTCCCATTGCCTTCTCATCCCAGGCGCTGCGCAGCTTTTCCCGCGTCTGGGAAGGGCCTTGGCGCGATTTTCGCGCCGAGTTCGGGCGGGGAGTGCGCCATGTCATGCCGTTGTTGCCATCCTCCCTAGCCAAGGTCCGTCTCTGGTTCTGGAAGCCCAATCCGCGCGGATACGACATGGACCAAGCAGTGCAGATGCCTGATCTTGTTGGCGCATCATCGTCGTCACCCTCTGAGTTTGAAGGCCTGGACCCTGTGTCTCTTGGGCTACGGAGTCTAGGGAGGCGCTTGGAGGAACTAGACACCCGCGCGCTCCTCACCCCTGATCTTTTCCAAATTGGTGGTGGTGATGGCGCAACAAGTTCTGATTCTTCCTCATCATGGCCACACATGCGGCATCTCAAAGTCGAGTTTCACCCATGCGCGCCCGACGGCAGCTGGTACTTCTCCGGCCCAAGAGGCGAAGATCCCCACCCCACAGGTTTCACTATCGCGAGAGACGAGCACTATCCGCCCGGCCAGGAAGACACCGACGAGACGCACGAACTATGGTCCCGCGAGGAGGACGAGTATACGGGCGACGATGAGATGTGCCTCGACCGTCAGCCTGACATGTTCCGTACGCTTCCCATCGAGGAGCGCATCAACCCTTTGCTCTTGGCCTTTGCCTTGTCTCTCCAACAACAAAACATGCCCTCCTTGGAAGACGCTGAGTTGTTCACATGGCTTACGTGGCATCCCTCCGAGGAACGGGCTCAGGAGTACGAAGGGATTGATGACGCGCCCCCTTCGGATGAAGGTGAGACCGTTATGTTCTGGTGGGGGGTGAGATACGAGGCACCTAAGGAAGATGGGAAAGGGAAAGTTACGTGGCAGGTGGGCGAGAACTGGAGGCCGGCGGACGAAATCGTTAGGGCGTTTGAGGATCTTGTGGGCGGGGATAGTGAAAATATGGAGTGGGAAGCGTTCGAGTTCGTGGAGGAAAGGGAGCAGGATCCGGAGATCTTTATCTGATGAAACTAGGTATAGAATCAATATGGCAGGCAGGTACAACAGATCGTTGCTTGTTTCTCTTCTCGAGGAAAGCGCTGGCAGTGACAATAGCGCTCAAGGGCGGTTACCGAAAAGCACGAAAGAAAATAGTCTTTCTCTTAGATAGATCCTCGTCTATATATATACAGAATAAAGTAGCGAATAATCTTGAACTTGTCGCCAACAGCAGCGTTACTATTCCCGCTCCCCCTACGCACGCACACATACTAAGCACTAATACCAACACAATACGCCTCCCCCAACCAATAATTCGTCAAACAATCACTACTCACAGCCGGATTCCACGCCAGAAACTGGCTCAACGAAATCCCCGCCTGGCTCGCCATATCCGTACAGGTCACACCGTCAGTCACAACAGCCCACTTATTGCAGTTGTCTGGCTCGCCTGACATCGTAGGTGCAGGAGGCGTAGGTTTAGTCGTTGTCCCTGAAAGCGCCGTCGTGG